TCAGCCTCCTCCTCCCCCTCCTCCTCCTCCTCTTCCTCCTCCTCTTCCTCCTCCTTCGCCTCTTCTTCCTCCTCCTCCTCCGCCTCCGCCTCCGCCTCCTCCTCCTCCCCCTCCTCCTCCTTTTCATCATCCTCATCCTCCTCTCCCTCTGTCTACGTTTCCACCTCCTCGTTTTCGTCCTCCCCCTCCTTCTCCTCCTCCTCCTCCTCGTCCTCCTCCTCCTCGTCCCCCCCCTCCCCCTCGGCCAAGATGGAGCGAGGAACGGCGCGAGAGTTGCACCCCCCGCAACACCCAGCACGCGAGGCGTTCCAAAGACGGGCCTCGCCCCAGGATTAAGTCTGGCATGTCCTCCTGCAGGCGGAGTTGTACGAAAAAGGAAGAAGTACACAAGAGAAACAAGATAAAAACTAGATGGTTTGATGCATCGTGGGGTCGTGAATAAAATCGATTATTCGTGAAACACAACAAGAAATCGACAGAGACCCGGAAACCTGGAGGAAACCACCGAAATCGGCCGGAACCAATAACCCGCAATCCGGGTTTCCGGAACTGGGAACCTGGGAAACCAGCCCGCTACCAAAACCAGCGGGCAACATTCGCCAGATCTTTCAATATCCTTCAGGAGCCCTTCAGCGCAAGCACTGATTGGAAAAAGTAAGCAGAGTCTTATCTACTATCCAGGCGAAGGGCCCAACCATATATGCGTGAGTCCCCCAGATCAGCTGGGACGAAGAAAGGGGAGCTCGTTACGGGGCCACGAGATGCTGCGCTGGGTTGGGGAAGCGCGCGTGGGCGCAACCGCTGGGGCTTTCGGCAGAGCCCCCTGCGGGGCAACGAAACGATGGACTGGGGCCAAACTCCATGCGAGGCCGCTTCAGTTCATTCCCAGATCACCTCTTTCGCCCCCCGCTGCCCTTGCTCCCTGGAGGCGGGGCTGCGGGCCGAGCGCAGCGCGGGCCCCCCGCGACGCGCGCCGGTCGCCCCTGGGGGGCGGGGGGGGCAGCGACGCGCGCGGGCCGTCAGCGGCGCGGAGAAAAGCTCAACGCTCGGCACACGCAGTGCAATGCGCTCGACAGAGCGCGCCGGGGAGCAGGGCAACTCCCGGAGGCATCGCGTCGCGGAGTCCCCGCGACGCGCGCCGGTCGCCCCGAGAGGGTTCCAGCGACGCACGCGGGTCGTCATCGGCGCGAGTCAAACAAAAAGGCCGTCGAAAAAAGGCGAGGCTCGGGTTGGCCGCCCCTCATGTCAGGCCTCTCGGATAAACTCGGTGAAGCCCAACGCCCTGGCAAGGGCCGTCGCCCACCCAGCTTGCGGCGCTCCGCGCGCGCCGCAAGCTGCCCCAGCTGCTTCCGCGAGACGCCGGCGGCCCAGCGAGGAAGAAGTCGATGCGCGGCGCCCGCGCGAACAGCAGTTCCTCGCGGCGCGAGGCGCGCGAGACCAGCGCGCAGTGCTCCAGCCACGAGTCGTCGTCCACCATCTCGCCGTTCCCGACCTCGTGGCGGCCGCAATCCAGGATCGCGCCTGGGCGATGTCGGCCGAGGGGGCAGCGCGCGCGCCGGGCAACCCGCCGCCCAGGGCGAAAGTCCACATCGCCGATAGGGGCGCAGAGTGCAGACTGCTCGCGCCCAGGCGGCGTGGCCGCAGACTGCCCGTGAGCGCCGTTCCCTCGCCCGGTCGCCTTCTCGCACGGCGCGCCCATGGCACGCCGCCGCGGCGATAGCCCTGCCGCGCGAAAACGGGGAGCCGGCGAGGGTGACCTTGGAGGTGCGGAAGGTGAACGACTCCGACGTGCGAGGCTCGATGAACACCAGCGGGCCCGCGAGTTCTTCCGTGGGGCTGTCGTCGCGACGCTTGAGGTCGCCCACGAAGGACGCGCCCGCGCATTTCACAATGCGTGCCCAGAACCCCAGCCAGCGGCAAACGCTTCAGATAGATCCTCTTCTTCCCGTCTCTTCCGCCTTGCTCGACCATTGCCCTGTCCCGCGGGCCCACGACGACGTGCACGATCTGCCCTCGGCATCCTTGACGAGGCCGTTCTTGTGGTCGAGCCCCTCCAAGAGCCGGATCCGCATGCCCATGCGCGCGGGGAGGAATCCGCGCATGCCGCCGGTGTTCTTCGGGCTGGCGCAGTTCATCTTGTTGGCGGCGTCCTTCACGCTCTTCGTCGGGGCAGACTTGTCGGCTGTCTGCCAAAGAAGAGGGGGTTCTTCCGGACGTCCGCGTCCCGCTGGGCGCGAATGTTCATCCACCGCGCCACGGTGCTCCAATAGGACCCGATCATGTGGCCATTCTGGAACCTGTCCTTCCGGAGCCAACGATCGTCGGGCTCGGGTCCTTGAAGCGGCTGGACGCCTGGAGTTCGAACCACCGCGGCGTGTTGAGAAAAGCTTCGAAGCGTGCGACGTGTGTGTGTGTGTGTGTGCCAAAATGGGCGGCGGCTTCCCCATGCGACCCTTCCGCTGGGGCTTTCGGTGGAATTCCCTGTGAAGCCACGGGCCGTGCGATGGAAAGGCCAAAATGAGCGGCGGTCCCCGCATGCGGCCTGTGCCACTGGGGCCTTCGGTGGAGTTCCCTGTGGGGCCACGAACCGTGTGAAGGGGGTGCCAAAATGGGCGGCGGCCCCCGCATTCGGCCTGTGCCACTGGGGCCTTCGGTGGAAGTCCCTGTGGGGCCACGAGCCGTGTGATGGGTGTGCCAAAATGGATGGCGCTGCCCACATGCGGCCTGTGCCACTGGGGCCTTCGGTGAAACTCCCTGTGGGGCCACGAGCCGTGTGGTGTGCCAACATGGGCGGCGGCCCCCGCATCCGGCCTGTGCCACTGGGGCCTTCGGTGGAGCCCCCTGCGGGGCCACGAACCGTGCGAGGGGTGTGCCAAAAGGGGTGGCGGTCCCCGCATGCGGCCTGTGCAGCTGGGGCCTTCGGTGGGGCTCCCTATGGGGCCACAACCAACGTGCGGGGTGTGCCAAAATAGGTGGCGGCCCCCGCATGCGGCTGTGCCAGAACAATTCAAGTTCCCCCCGACGCCAGTCCTGGCACATCACAGGTACCTCGCGGAGGAGAAGGAGGAAGGGGAGGAGGAGTGAGGAGGAGGAGGTGACGCTGGGCGCTGTCTTTTCAAAACGAGGACCCAACACCACAGGATGGTTGGGAACAAAAATGCTCAAACATATTCTAAAAAATCGTGCCCTGGCAAAATTTCAACTACTGTTGAATAGTCCTCCTGTAAAAGGACACGCCCGATTTAACCTTAGGAGCATGGAGAAAGCGCCACCAACACCACCAGGGACCACCAGCGGGGGAGAAGCCAGGGAGGGCCCCCCCTGGTGGTGTGGTCCCCCGCTTTCGCTCGACTTTCCAGATCTCCAGCTCGGGGAGGCATCGTGGACCTCCTCGCTGGAGGTGGCTCCATGGTGGTGTTGGCGTCGACTATCCTTCCACCCATGCCTTCGCGGACCGAAGGAATTGACATTTCTTCCTCGGCGGAAGGCGGCGGAAGGCGGGCGGAAGGCGGCGGAAGAAAAACGAGGCCGCAACCGCCGCCGGAAGGCTGGCGGAAGCTCGCGGAAGCAAAAGTCGGCCCCCCAAAAGATGACAACCTTAGTGGGTTCAGGTTTCCAGCATCCGCCACGCGTTCGCCTTGAAGAAGATTCGCGTGAGCGGGAAGCCATCGCTCCCACGATGAGGGATCGTGCTATGACAGATTCTGGTGCACGCGAATCGTCGATCGTCGAGCTTCCTGTGGTGTCCCAGGGCTTCCGCGGGCCGCAGATGTGGTTCATCGGGGGGCAAGAGATCGCCGCGGGGCAGCTGCTGGAAGGCGCATCACTTGCTGGATGTGTTGTGCCTGGTGCATAAGCATGCGGGGGACCCTAGAACGCGCGGAGGGAACGCGGAAGACGCGAGAAGGCTGTTCGGGATCGGAAGTGTGCTTGCGTCAACGCCTCGTCCTCAGCGCTGGTTCTCAGTGTGACTTCGCGCTCTGCTCCACGCGAAGGGTTTGTGGGAGATCTCGAAACTGTTGGGGCCTCCGCGTTCCCTGTAACCGGGGGTTCAGCGACCCTAGACCCAACCTTTTCTGCAATTTTCAAATGAGCACGACCTTTGGGGCCCCACTCGGGTATGCACGGCGGGGGACGTCCATCCATGATAACGGTGCGCCCACATAACTCCCTGGGGGGCGGGCAGGATTCCCCTCCTTTCTGAATAGGGGGGAGCCGAGAATCGAATCGATCAGTCGCATCGGCGGTCGAAACGAATCGGATCGGCGGAAATCGCAGCCGAGTCAGGAGAAGTCGAATAAATCAGCAGGCGGGTAAGCCTCCAATGCGAAATATGAACCCCAATCGGAAAATCCGAAATCAAATCGAATCGGAAACGAGAACCACCGAAATCGTATCGAACCGCGAGTGAGCCCTGTGAGTGGCCGCTTGAAGATGGGGTGATAAAAATCGCCTGCGTCCCTGGGACCTGCCACGCGACACTTGAGCAGGGACCGACCGTCCCGGCATTCGTATAGACCTACCACGCAATCTTCTTAGAACCCCACAAATGTTCGAAGACCAAAAGCAATGTCCTTAGAACATGAGCCCGATGTGTCAAAACAGCACGGCCTTAGCCAGAAATGCTCTACGAACATTTCGTGCAGACCACAAGAGGTTCTTGGAGAACATTCCCTTAGGTTGCGGGCAATAGTTATATCCACATCCAATGCGTCTTGGAACTTTGGGCCCTCTTCCCCAGAAAACGGAGGCGCACTGGATATGGATGATTTGTTCCCCAGAAGGTTATTATTTTTATCCATATCCAGTGTGGCTCGGCCTTGCGGCGCCCCTTCCCAACAAGTCCACGACGCTCTGGATATGGACATAAGTATTGCTCGCATAAGTGGGCCTATCGGCGAGCCAAGACGCTTCGCCACTGCTAGCGACACGGAACCAACGACGGGCGGGGCAAGCCCGCCGCCGCTGCGCGCGCTGGCCGCGGGGGCATCGCCGGCCGCCTCCGCCCCGTGTACTCCCTGTCCGAGAACAGGACGCCCGTGAAGACGAGGCTGAAGACGTACCTCATCTCGACTCTCGACTCCTCCTCCTCCTCCTCTCCTCCTCCTCCTCCTCCTCCTCCTCCTCCTCCTCCTCCTCCTCCTCCTCCTCCTCCTGCCACGGCCTGTAAGAGGTGACGGCACGGCACTCCTGTCGCTGCTCCGGTCACCGGCGGCCCGCAGACCCGCGGTCTGCTCCGCTGCATCGTTTCGCCCTCGATGAAGGGGCCCACAAACACACAAATAAATACACACAAATAACAGGAGCCCCCATATTTTTCCATATTTTCTGGGTTCCTGTCTTCCCCACCACTTCCCATATTTCCCATATTTTCCTAGGAGTCGACGATTAATTGTGTCTGTGTGCTTCTTTCCCTCCTGACTCGACTCTCTGTCAGGAGGCAACTACTGTAAGGTCTTCGTCGGAAAAGTGAATGAGACCTTAGCCCAAATTGGGGGGCTGCTGAGCCGGATCAGGCAGCGGATCAAACAGGATTGCGCCGCCTGCAGCGGGCTTAAGCCAGATTAAGCGGCATTCCGCCGAATTAAAATGGATGTCCGGGTCAAAATCAGAATTTGACCTCCCAGGAGTTGCATCCGAATCTCTGGAGGCCTCTGCAGTGGAATCCGAGTAAAGGGGGGTCGGAGGATCGCGCCGCATCGCCGGTGCATCGCATCGGCGACAAATCGGCAACGCCGGCAGTGCATCGGCGACGTCGGCGTGGAGAAAACCGGGCACCAATTCGAGCCGCATCGCCGATGCATCGGCGATGCGGCGCGATCCTCCGACCCCATCTACCCCGATCAGCTCATTTTCAATTATTCGCGATAACTCCCGTGACTGGCCCCGGCCCCCCCCCCCTTCCAGTTCTTCTGGTCAGGTCACGATTCGCGCCAGCGCCGTCTGAAAATGAGAGTCTTAAACACTCCCAGACGGCGCCGGCGCGAATCGTGACGTCTCTCCCCCGTCAGGTCACGGCCGTGTTGGCTGCGCGCGCAAGAAGAAGGTAGGGGGAAGGGGGAAGGCTTCTTAGAAGGAGGCTGCTTCTTCAAGGCGCAAGCCTTACATCTAAAGACAAGGCCCGCGCCTTTTCAGACTCGAAGAAGCCTTCCCCCCTCCCCCTCCCCCCCTCTGCGCCTAATCACGCCCGTGATCGCAAGAGGATGACGCTCTCCCTAGACCCCCGACGGCGTTTTTGTTCACCACGTCGACCTCCGAAGGTCTCAACCCCAAACATGCGACGTCTTGATATTTTCAATACGGCGTCCCTGGAAGTCCCGACCCTTTCCGCAGGACAGGATTTTCATCAAGAGTCGTTTTTGTATGGTCCCGAGGCCCAGCGAGGGCCCCCCGAGGCCGAATTTGGCCAAAAACCTCCCGTCCTGATTTTTGTTTCATCCATCCTGTGGTGTTGGGTCCTCGTTTTGACGAGACAGCGCCCCGTGTCACACCTCTCCTCCTCTCCTCCTCCCCCCTCCTCACACCAGGGCGCAAGAACCGCATGCGGCTCCCGCGCCCAATATAGCGCTACATGGCCCCAGAGGGAGCTCCACCGCAAGTCCCAGTGGCGCAGTCCGCATGCAGTTCCTGCGCCCAATAAGACGTTTCGGGGCCCCAGAGGGAGTTCCACCGAAGGTCCCAGTGGCGCAGTCCGCATGCGGTTCCTGGGCCCAGTGCAGTGTTTCGTGGCCCCATAAAAAGGGGCTCCACCGCAGGTCCCAGTAGCGCACTCTGTATGCAGTTCCTGCGCCCACTACAATGTTTCGTGACCCCATGGGGAGCTCCATCGGATATCCCACTGACGCAGTCCGCATGCGGTTCCTTAAATGGGCTCCGCCGAAGGTCCCAATGCTTGCACCTCGAAGGAGGTTCCCCAACCCAGTAAACGCTTCGGGGCCCCATACGCAGTTCCGCCAAAGGTCCGAGTGGTGCAGTCCACATGCCGATCCTTCACCCAGTATAACGTTTCGTGGCCCCACAGACAGCTCCACGAAAGACGAGACCCACAACAGCGGCACTGACAACTGCATATGGTTTGTCTTTTCGCCAGGTAACACACACCACACACACCACACACACCACACACACACAACACACACACACACAAACACGCCACCCACACACCACACACACACACACACACTCACAAACACGCCGCATACATAATGTATAAAAACTGTTTTTAACAAGTAGGTTGAGGAGACATGTTTTAAAGTGTTTTCCCCAGCGCTTTTGTGCGCCTATAGAAACGAGAAAGGGAAGCGGGGCAAACTGGATCGCTGGAGACGTCCCGCGACCGCCTGGCGCCCTGCGTGCAGGCGCAGATTCCTGCGCACCCCCCCTTGGCGTCAGGCCATGCCCGCCACGCCCTGCGACCCCAGCGTGGGTAGAAACTGCGCTCACGGACCACTCCCTAGGCACCGCGCGCCCTGTCTGGGTTGCGAAGCGGCGCTCAACACGCAAATGCGGCACGCCGCTGATGAATTTTATTCAAAGGGGACGACGCTTGACTCCAAAACCCAGTGGCGGAAACCCAATGTAAAAATTCATTCTCTGACTGGAAGACGGGAACATCCCAATGTGGATATACGACACTGTATGAAAAATGCCGAGCGCCAGCGCGCGCGCGCGGCGGCGGCATGCCGCTGATTGATGTTATACAACGGGGCGAAATGTTGCGCGCGCGGCGGCGTCATGCCGCTGATCGATTTTATACAACGGGACGAAATTTGATCTCCCAAGCCCAAGTGGCCAAAACCCAATGTAAAAAAAACATTCTCCGATCTGAAGACCTGAAGACAGGAACATCCCCATGTGGCTATACGACGCTGAATGCAAACATCCCAATCGCCAACGAGCGCGCGCGCGGCGACCGCATGCCGCTGATAGATTTGACACAACGGGAGCGCTGTTGCACTCCAAGCCACAATGGCCAAACCCAATGTAAAAAAAAAAAAAAAAAAAAAAAAAAAAAAAAAAAAAAAAAAAAAAAAAAAAAAAAAAAAAAAAAAAAAAAAAAAAAACTGATCGGAAGACGGGAACATCCCGATGTGGATATGCGACGCTGACTGCAAACATGCCAATCGCCAGCGCGCGTGCGGCGGCGGCATGCCGCTGGTAGGCTTGATACAACGGGAGCGAGGTTGAACTACAACATCCAATGGCGAAAACCCAATGTAAGCATTCATTCTCTGATCGGAAAACGGGAACATCCCCATGTGGATATACGACACTGAATGCACAAATGCCGGTCGCCAGCGCGCGCGCGCGGCGGCGGCCTGCCGCTGATAGATTTATATAGACGGGAGCTTTGCTGAACTCCCAAACGCAATTGCGGAAACCCAATGTAAACATTCATTTTCTGATCGGAAGACGGGAACATCCTCATGTGGGTATGCGACACTGAATGCACAAATGCAAATCGCCAGCGCGCGCGGCGGCGGCATGCCGATGGTAGGCTTGATACAACGGGAGCGAGGTTGAACTTCAAGATCCAATGGCGAAAACCCGATATAAAAATTCATTCTCTGATCGGAAGACGGGAACATCCCGATGTGGATATACAACACTGCGTGCACAAATTCCAATCGCCAACGCGCGCGCGCGCGGCGGCGGCATGCCGCTGATAGATTGACGCAACGGGAGCGAGGTTGAATTCCGAAACCCAATGGCGAAAACCCGATGTAAACATTCATTCTCTGATCGGAAGACGGGAACATCCCCATCGGCATTCTCCCTGGTACCGAAGTATATACAAATCGCATCGATCGGCACCCGGGGGGGACAGATTAAGAAAAAAAAAAACCAGATGCGAATTAATGGCAGTCGGGGTCCGGGGGGGGAGGCGGGGGGGCATCATTACCTAACAGCGAAGACTGTTAGGTTTCTAGTAGGGTCAAAAGAAAGCATCATGACTCCCCAGAGGGGGTCTGGGCGGGATCCGGGCGGGTGCCGCGGAAAATCGAAGACTCCTTTTTTAGCAAACAGTAACGCACTTCGTAGTCTTCGAGTTCCCAGAACTCCATTCCTCGGCATGATTTTGAATGCCCGGAGCCAACTGTAAGCCACTTCGTGTTCTTCCAGTTCCCAGAACTCCACTCCTAGGCATGGTTTTTAATGCCCGGAGCCAACTGTGGGCCACTTCGTGGTCTTCGAGTTTCCAGAACTCCATTCCTGGGCATGATTTTGAATGCCCGGAGCCAACTGTAGGCAACTTCGCGGTCATCGAGTTCCCAGAACTCCATTCCTGGGCATGATGTTGAATGCCAGGAGCCAACTATAGGCCACTTCGTCTTCTTTGAGTGCAAAATACTCCATTCCCGGGCCACATTTTGAATGCTGAGGCAAGCTGATGCTGAGGCTGAGGCAGGCTGAGGCTGAGGCCGAGGCTAAAGGCAGACTGAGGCTGAGGCTGAAGCAGGCTGAGGCAGAGGCTGAGGCAGGCTGCGGCTGAGGCTGAGGCAGGCTGATGCTGAGACAGGCAGAGGATGAGGCTGAGGCTGATGCAGGCTGAGGCTGAGGCAGGCTGAGGCTGTGGCCGAGGCTGAAGGCAGACTGAGGCTGAGGCTGAGGCTGAGGCTGAGGCAGGCTGAGGCTGAGGCTGAGGCTGGCTGATGCTGAGGCAGGCTGAGGCTGAGTCTGAGGCTGATGCAGGCTGAGGCTGAGGCAGGCTGAGGCCGAGGCCGAGGCTGAAGGCAGACTGAGGCTGAGGCTGGAGCAGGCTGAGGCTGAGGCTGAGGCAGGCTGAGGCTGAGGCTGAGGCAGGCTGATGCTGAGGCAGGCTGAGGCTGAGGCTGAGGCTGATGCAGGCTGAGGCTGAGGCAGGCTGAGGCTGAGGCCGAGGCTGAAGGCAGACTGAGGCTGAGGCTGAAGGCTGAGGCTGAGGCTGAGGCTGAGGCTGAGGCTGAGGCTGAGGCTGAGGCTGCTGAGCTGAGGCTGAGGCAGGCTGAGGCTGAGGCTGAGGCTGAGGCTGAGGCTGAGGCTGAGGCTGAGGCTGAGGCTGAGGCTGAGGCTGAGGCGAGGC